TTTTAAAGAAACAAAAATTTAAAATTTTTTATGATACACACCGACAAAAAAAAAAAAAAAAAAAAAGAAAAGCCATGAAATAACTGAATACTGAAATAATTATTCATTATCATAAGTTTTGATTTCATTTTTTTTTTTTATGAATTCACATGGAATTCTATAACCATACATCGCGCCAAAGATTGACGTAATAAGTCGGGATATTGTTTTTTTTCTTTCAATTTGTTTTGTGGATAAATAACGCATTCATTTTTGTTCAGAACATTTCTGCAGTTTTGGCACTCCATAGCCAACAGCCGCACCCCCCTCCCTCCCTCCCTCTTTATGACCGTGAGGCGTCGTGGAAAGTAACAACCAGAGATTTGGTAGTGGTTACTCACTGGGAGGGACAATTACACCCCACAGAAGACAAGTAGACGTGCAAGTTTGTTCCAGTTAAGACGTACCATTTACCTGATTCCATGTGGAAAACATTACAATTCACATCTGTCCACACATGGCTGAGAATTTCACACCGCTTTGTAGGGATACAGTAGGGAAGTTGTGGCTTTAACGATCCCCTGCCCCACACCCCCACCCCCACCCTTCTCCTCTTATAATAGAAAGTAGTTGGCAAAGCTGTGGCAGTTTTTTTGGCGAGCTTTGTGGACAGCTAAGCACAATTATTTAGTGCGCTTCACAGTTCGGGGGTGGGAGGGTAGGTCTACTGTCGCTGTGTTTTGTGTTTTTGTTTTTTCTTGTACAATGTATAGATTCAGGAAACTGAGACGTCCCCTCAGGGACAGGCTTTTCTCGCTGACAAAAGAACCGATCCAACGGGCACATCAGGTGTCCTTTTTCACATTTAAAAGCACAACCGTCTTCACCAAGTCTACAAAGACCCTTTGTAGTCCAGTGTTAAAAAAAAAAAAACAAACAAAAAAAAAACAAAGCTCATTAGAAATCAGAAAAAAAGGTAACACTTGCATAATTATTCTGGATGATTAGAAGAGTTGACCAGATTATCCGCTAGGGGGCGACTGCGTGTAACCCTCGGTCACCGAACGCGTCGGACAGTAACGGACATTTTAAAAAGTAGTTATGTTGTGATTTAAGGTGTTGGAATTAGAAACGTTGAGTCTCCTCCGGCTCTCCTTGCAAGGCTTCTGAGATCAGGCGATGGGGGTGGAATAAAGCTGGGGACTCCAGCAGAATTTAACATGTAGGGGGGCGGAGGAGTAATATAAAAAAGAAATAAAAACACACGCACGTTTACACACTCGCTCTTGAACTCGAACGGAAATAGATCGGCTTGTTGTGTTCCCTCCATCTCCAAAACAGCTGGGAAGACCTCTTGGATTTAGTGGGGCAGAGGGGCGCAGGTGGGGCGCGGGGGTTCTGCTTTGCATTCAGTATCTCTGCCCACCTCTTTGTAAGCACACACGCATACACACACACACACACACACACGCACCTGATGCACACATGGCTTTGGGAGAAATAGTAAGGACCACATCTACTTCACTGGGCAGTCCAGATCATCTCCACCCTGAGGATTGTGGGAAGCTGAGAGTCATGTGGATTTTATTTCACAAGGCCTAGTGCAGTCCAGAACAGATTGCAGACCACTCTGGACTTTCCTCTGTCCGCCTGTTTCCAACGCAGAGGCAGGAAGTCGCTGTCAGGGACGAGCTTTTGGCTGCAGAGGCGAAAAGATAAAAAGTAGATCAACTGAAGGATGACTTGGTTAAGCATCGAGTATTTCCGAAATGTTTTATCCTACATTTCTTAAACTTTTATAGTTCATTGTTTATATCACAGGCTGTCATCCCTTTAGTTTGATAAGATCTCATCTCATTATTTTGTCAGCAACTTGAACTTCAGCCGCGCCTCAACGCAAAGCACATTTTGTCTCACTACAACTACAAACTCTTACAAACGACATTTTATTGGGGTTTTCTTTAAAAGACCAAAGCGTTGCGCTTATTTTCAAAGACGACAAAAAGAAAAACACTTTACAAATAAAAACCTGACACTTATAATGTTCAAACCTACCCTCACTTTGTAGATGAACCGTCTGAAACTTTGGGTGGGTAGAGTAACCAAAAATTGTACTCACCCCTTTGTATTTTTAAAAGTCCTCCAGTTCCAGTGTTAGATGTTCAATAAAAATTAGTTTAATGATCTTTGACTGCGTGTACTTTGCATTATTTTGCCATTATCATTGCTCTAATTGAAAACGGTCTCATAACGACAATATTATTGTTTATCGCAATGATTTCTCGGACAATTAATCGCCCAGTTACATTTATCGTGGCAGGCCGAGTGGCACAGACACGTTTACGTCTGGGACACTAACCTGATGTAAATGAGAGTTGTTGGGCAGACCCGGCGTCCCTGGAATGCTCCGGCTGTGCTTCCCGTGGATGTTGTTAAGAGCGGGGGACTTGGTCATTTTGGGCCGGCCCGGTCCGGTTCCTCCTGCTGCTCCGTCCCTACCCAGACCTCCGCCTCCGCTGTTGACGCCGCCGGAGGCGGAGGAGCTTTTTCGCTTCTTGGCCTCCAGGCGACCGTCTGCCGAGTGGTGGCTGAAGTTGGCGTGGTGGTCCGACGACGAGGTGGGCTGGTGGTGGACGAACGGCCCCAGAGAGAGTGTCGAGTCGCTGCTGTTCATCACCACGCTCATGCGCTTTATGGACTCGGCGGGGCTGCCCGAGGGCGGGCCCCGCGCCGGCGGCCCCGACGAGCCGCCCGCCGAAGGCTCCGCCTTGAGGCTGAGCGAGTTGGTCCGCACGCTGGGGCCGCAGTTCAGCCCCACGCTGTGAACGCCACTGTGGGAGGAGGACAGCGAAGACGAAGCTCCCAACGAGCCGTGGTGGTAGGTGCTCCCTGAGCTGCCCGCGTTTGCACAGTTCTTCTTGAACGACGAAGAGGAGGAGGATGACGAAGGGGCACCGACGTACGAAGAAGAGGAGTCAGAAGAGCAATGGGATGAGGAAAGGAGAGAACTGTTCTTCCTCTTCTTTCCCGAGCTGAAGCTAGTGCTGCTACTGTTGTTCGCTCCGGCGCTACCCCCGCTGGTGGAGTTCGGTACGACGGGCGCAGAGGAGCCAGAGGAGAGCTCCTTGGGCTTGAAGGATGAGGAAGATGATTTGGTAGCGGCGCTGCTGCTGCTGGATGAACGCGACTTCAGCGCTCGGCCGGAGGCTAGCGAAGCAGCTGAAGACGACGAGGATGAGGACAAGTGGGCTGAAGGCATCTGCGGCAACGAAGACACTTGTCTGGCCTGCGTGGTGCCATAGGCCGGGTGCTCAGGCCCGCCCTGGAGGGAGCTGTGAGCGTTTAAGGTGGTCCCGTAGGAGAGCGATGACTTGCTCTCGACAGATTGGCTGTAGGGGCTTTGGGGCAAGGTCGCCGGGGGGCTCAGGAAGCCTGACGAGGGAGTGCTACCGTGGGAATTTGTGCTTGTCCTGTGGAGGGATGTGAGAGAGGAATTCTCCAAGGCCAGGGGGATTTTCCTACACAGCAAGAAACACAAGAATTATTACTTTCTTTTTCAATACAAACTAAAACCTCTAGTTCTTAGTCAACTTTAGGTGAAAGCTGCAAGGCGTCTTTCTGCTGCCTCAATGCGCTTTGTGAAAGGACTCATACGATAAAACTTCAATAAAACACAACAAAGCTAAACGTTTGTAACGTGTCAAAATGTGGAGAAGATGAATTTCTTTCTACATTTAAGATAAAATACTTCAATTGTATATTTACATCCACACATATTTCATTGTAAGATTTTATACTTTAGCAGACTTCTTATAACATTCTGGTCATTTATGTACAAAGTATCATAAATAATGAAACCCCAAAATGCTCACATTTGGTTTAGGGGTGTGATAAAAAGCTAATTAACTGCTTTTAAATCAGTACAATAAATAAAAAAAAGAACTACTACTAAGTCTGGTATTTTCATTCATTTAAGGTAGATTGTTTAAAGTTTCACACATTTTTTTAAACAACATTCAAAGATCTGATAAAGTGAATTTAAAGTTGTAGAGAGCAAAAAGGTAGTGAAGCAGAACACTTCTGTATTTTTTAAAATTGGGTGTGTTTTCAATTGGTAACTGAACACCGTACATACTGATAGCAAATTAGTTAAAATCAACATCTGGTTTAGCAAATGAAACCTATAAATCACTGTGAAAATAACTGCATTTGCTAAGAATTATCTGATGATTTTTTTTTTTGCTTTAGAAAGAAAAAAGTCCAACATTTTTCCATATTTTTTCACTCATCAGGTGCTGAAAAATTATCAAAAAAAGACAAATCACACACTTTTATAGACTATTGCATTCAATATGTGGTCCTGAAACCAAACAAAAACTAGAGATTCTCACTTCCACATCTGAGAGTTAACGTGCTTTTCCATCATGGTGGTCAGGGCGCATCGCACTCTGTCCCACCGCCTATCAAAGGAGTAAAAGCCTCTCCCCATCAGTCGACTTCCAAAGGTACAGTACTGGGAAGAGAGGTGGGGTTTGGGTGAGAAACAAAAACAGCCATTCTCTGTTTAAAAAAGAAAAATAAAGTGTGCTAACAGGACTTACAGCTGCCGGTCGTGGGTGGTAACCTGAATAGAGAAAGTCCAGTTTGTCCGTTCCATCTTCCCGCTCCTCGTTCTCCCCCTCGTCGCTTGAGGGTCTGGATAAAACGTCTGGGGTGGGCTGGGGATGGTGCAGGGACTCGTGGACTACCGAAGGATCTCCAGAGGAACCTCCAGCGTGACTGTTGTTCAGTCTGATTAGCACAGACGGATAGAAACGTTCGCAGAAACATGCTAACCGTTTCAGAAAACCACACAAACGGGACACAGACGTGTTTGAACAAACGCGGCGCGGTGCTTACCGTGGAAGACCAGGACTGTGAAATTTGGGCTTTCCGAGTGGCAAAGGCTTCGTGGTATCAGGGGCTGGTCCGTTGCCATGAGAAACCGGGTGGGTGTCATGGCTAGGGGCGAGCTGGGGAGAGGGGTGTGGGTCCCTGAGAGGGGCAGTTTGCTGGGAATGGGTTTGGTGCAGTTCTCGTTCCCTGTCCCGCTCTCTCGTTCTGTTCTTGTGTTCTGCCAGCAAAATGTCGAAGCGCTTCCGTCGTCCAGGCACGGCCCTCCGATGGCCTAAGGAATGTGTCTGCAGGGGCGTTAAACAGGTAATAATGCAACTTTTTTCCTCACCACACTTTTTCCTTCCACTCAACTTTTCATTAAAATGCTTTAGATGCAGCACTCTGAACAGCCGGCTTCTTCAGCGACGTCCTCGTGGAGGACGCCAAAGACAACAAACTGACAAACATTTCTGTTGAAAAATGTTTTGAAGCCAGTCGTTTGTCATATCCAAAACAGAATTTTGGGTTTTTGTTAACTGTGCGCCTACACTTATAAACCCAGAGGATATATCATCCTGTGGTTCATAAATGTGTAATATCAGTTTCACTTTCAGAATTACTGTCATAAAGTAACTTTTTGGGGAACGCTCAAGTAATTAAGGCTCCCATATTGGGTGCTGTTCAGCAGTTCTTAGATCCAAGATAAATTTCTTTGCCTCGTCGTAATCAGAGTCCGTTCATCACTGCAGACTACATGGTGTTAAGTTCTGTATTCGGTATTAAGAAACAGCTTTTGACAAATTTCAGAAATACAGACCCCTTTCCAAAACACATCAGTGCACGTTTAAGGCGCCTCTCTGCAACCTGCATTAAAGGCCACTTCAGAACACAAGTGACATTAAGCAGAGCAATTTTACAGCTAAAAATATTGACATTTAATCAAGTCTAACAATATTTATAGTTATTTCTGCTCTCATGGTCCCATTAATGGAAAGCAACAGTAAGAGAAACTATCCAGACTCTACTTTTGTAAAACGACGATAACGCCATGCAGTTTGTCATAACTGAAGCTGCAACTAATGATTATTTTAGTTACTGATTAATCGATTGTTCTGATGATTAATCGGATAATAAAAATGGGCAAATTCAGCCGATTTTTTTCTGCAATATTTGAAATGTATTAAAAGATGCAAATAATTAAATTGATAAAAGGTTTTTTTTTTTTTTTTTTTTTTTTTAATATTTTTGATATTGGGTAACATTAAAAGATGCCTTGTGAGTATTTTGGGTGTGAACATT